ATTTATACAAATCTAAAACTTTAGATTTCCGAGACTTAAAGGAAGGGAAAAACGAAGATATGTTCCCGCCAAAAGTCTGTCAAATGTCAATCTCAAACCTCAGTGTTGACAGTCACATTATGTTTAGATTTCTAAATTGTAAATGACTAATATTTTGAATTGAATTGACTAATTTAATTTCATGCTATTTGATTAATGTTCCAAATTCTTTTCATTTCATTTCAATTCCTATTAACATTTTTCACAAAAAAATTATAAAATATTAGGCTGTATGGTATGATACATTTGCCTTTCCAGTTGGAAAAATACAACAACTACTACTACTGACATTTGACAAGTACTTAATTTCAATAATAGTTTGATGTCACTTCCGTTGCATACCTGCGTGACGTTCTATAAAAATTTTACCCCCATGCGCCTAAAGAAGTTTCACTTCAATAACATATTATCTACAATGTTGCTTTAAATAAAATCATTTAGAATTCGGGTCACAGAATTACTTACGTAAACAATTTCCCAAAGGTATCGAAATGCGATGGAAATTTCCAATTGCTTGGAAGCTGACAAAAAGGTGCCTTTGTGATAGAAAAATATCCAATGTACTTAAGTGAATCTAGAAACGACCACCCCGAGCTTCGCTTTATAAACCCCCTCATTAAGTACATCGAGTGGAATGGATGAGTAAAGCCGGACTTTGTAATACCTATCCAAGAAAATGTGGTTATATTGAATTACAACCCGATAAAAGACGATTGCAACAATAACTTGGGAAGATTACAACGCTAGAGAGAGAATTTTGTTATAAATATTTATCGACGCTTATAATTCGAAAAAAAAAAAGGTATATAATACTTGATTTGTACCTGGCAGTTGAGTGCATTAAAATCGCGTATCATGTAAAGTAATTGTGCAGGCCTATAATAATAGGTCTCTAACCTATGAAGTTGCAGTTATACAATAGGTAGATACTGGCCATTTGAAACGTAATTTATGTATGGCTGGCAATAACTTCAATATTTGGAATTATAATTTCAAATTCAGTCACTTGTTTATTGATTAGTGTTTTGTTTTGACTACATTTGTTTCTTTTTCATCAATGGACACCATGAAAACATGAGTAATTATGGGATACAAGGTCCGTCGTGGTAGCAATGTTATACAACTCACAGCATTATTAACGTGTACGGAGTGAAAACTACAACAGATCGCACGAATCGTTAGGTATTTGTTGTCGACGTCGCCCAAAACACGTCATTACGGATCCTCCTGATTCATTAACGGTGCTTTTAGGTACCACAAGCACCGGTCACCGTCCTCGCAGAACCCGTCGCTTGCGATGAAAGACTCGACGAGCGAATTAACCCACAGACACAGCCCACTGAGTTCCTCGCCGGATCTTCTCAGTGGGTCGCGTTTCCGATCCGGTGGTAGATTCTGCAAAGCACTGCTTTTGCTAGGGTCAGTGTTAGCAACGCCTCCGGTTTGAGCTTCGAGAGTTCACCTACACGCTAGGGCAACGTTGAAATAGCCTCTCAAGGCTATCAGCATAGGTAGGGAAAAAAAAACGTACGAAATCACTCGCTTTTCCAGTGTGTACTTTTCATTCATAAAAAATGTTACACATTCATACTTTTAGCATATTAATAAGCAAAATTAAATACAAGGTAATTAATTATCACATTATCTCTGTGTAATATGTACATATTATATAGAGAATATCGTTGCGAGTATGTAGACCAACCTATGACTTATTCTGCAGAAATAGGTATTTTCACATGTAAACTTACGACATAATATATTCACAATGATTTATAGGTTCCTGTCGTTGTGCGCTTTTGTTCCATCATATTCTTAAAATAGCTAATAGTTTTGAATTTGTTGAAAACTGATTTAATTTTGTATTCATGACCATGTAATATTATGATGAGTAATTTACTAAATTTATGATGCAGAGCTAGTCCGAGCACTCCTTATAAAGCATTTAGAACTGGTATTGATTCAAATTGAATATCTCAAAATATATAATATCTATATACATATATTTAGATCCGACACCTAGTGGAAAAGACCCAAGACAATATGGAAAGATTCAGTGCAATTCAGTGGAATGCAATTTTACAAAGATGTCGAACAGACAACAGTGTCGGTGGCGACAGAGAGATATATGTATATATGCTGATATGTACATAATGTACATATTTTAACTAACAATAAAAAAGTGAACTAACAATTTTGTTTTAAAATTGAGTTGTCAGTCTGACACTACCTTTGAAAGTATCAACATTTTCAAACGATTATATCCACCTCACATGGGATATTCAAGTTATCCATTGTTTACGCACCTCAAACATCTTTAGCTGCCGAGATCAAAGATAACCATTTCACTTTTACGATATCGATGAAACGTAAGCCGTAAAATATCAACTGTGCGTTGCCCCAGTCGCTGTATTTTTAGCTTCTCGATTCTGTAAGGTCTTTAGCTACAACGTGTAAACAATGCTTGCATTCATGCGCATAGTTCTTGAACTTAATACGTACTTAATAACGGAATCACTACAAATACTAGTAGTGGTGCTTTTTTTTGTTGTTTACTTTTCGTCTTCTGTTTTTTTTTTAATGCGTAGATGAGTGGACGAGCTCACAGTCTGAGAAGCCTGAGATGGTCGCATCGCTTTGTAGGTACACCGGGCGTCACACCCATTCGATCGCGAACGCTTCAAATGTTATATTAACAATGTTATTACAGTCAATTATCTTTGTAATGAATAAAATTGAAGTAGGACTTATACGAGATAAAACATATTCACGTATGTTAATTAAATGACTGTAAACCTTGCCTCGTTTTATGGACGAAGAAGGTATGAAGTGAAATATTTCTCGTTTCTGTAAATTCGAAAATTGAGAGTTTTTTTTTATTGTTTAGGTGGATGGACGAGCTCCCAGCCCGCCTGATGTTCAGTTGTTACTGGAGCCCATAGACATCTACAACGTAAATGTGCCACTAACCTTGAGATATAAGTTCTAAGGTCTCAGTAAAGTTACAACGGCTGCCCCACCTTTCAAACAGAAACACATTACTGCTTCACAGCTGAAATAGGCGGGGTGGTGGTACCTACCCGTACGGACTCACAAGAGGTCCTACCAGTAATAAAATAATGTTAGAATTTCAAACGTTTATCTTTTTTAATGGCCTTAAAACTAATGACTTTTTTAACCCTTTGTATACCTTTAGATTTATACACCGCAAAATCACTTTTAAATTTCTTTATATAGTTTTGATGACAATTTTTAAGTGATAGATATAATGTAAGCGAGTCATTTACAAAGTCCGGATAATTACGTAAAAATATAGGATGAAACAAAATTATGATTTCACCTTCAAGAGATTGCTCAATGCGGCTGGTTGATGCTAAACATTGTGAACAAAGAATTATTGTTAACCCGTGAAATGAAACAAATTTTCAACTCCATAAAATAGTCTTAGTTTCTACTGATGCTTCTGTTAATAAAGATGCCCTATTGTTTGTAATTGATATAGAAAAATTTATAATTACATGACGATAAATACTCCCTCGGCTTTGATTCACTGATATTTTAACTCAATTAAAACTGTTTGCTATTGGAAGCATTATCCTGCCGATTCCTGCGGTCAAGCAGTGTTACGTTGTGGTTTGAAGGGTGGGTCAACTGTAATACGATACAAGTGACTTGGGCCTCAACTCTTAAGGGGTGTTTTTTTAATTTTTTATTACTTCGATGTGTAGACGAGATCACGGCCCACCTGATGTTAAGTGGTTACTGGAGCCCATAGACATCTACAACGTAAATGCGCCACCCACCTTGAGATATAAGTTATAAGGTCTCAGTATAGTTACAATGACTGCCCCGGCCTTCAAACTGAAACGCATTACTGCTTCACGGCAGAAATAGGCAGGGCGATGGTACCTACCCGTGCGGACTCACAAGAGGCCCTACCACCAGTAACTACGCAAATTATAATTTTGTGGGTTTGATTTTTATTACATGCTGTTATTCCTTCACCGTGGAAGTCATTGTGTTGGCATTCATGCTGTGACGTCAATGGGCAAGGGTAACCGCGTAACATCAGGTAGCTCGTGAGCTCGTTCATCTGTCTATACCAGGGGTGACCAACCGAAAAATCGCGATTGACCGATCGTGGCTCTTGGTTCAGTCGATCGTGGCTAGACAAAAAACATAAATATGTACATAGAACCGACTGCGCAACGTAATCACCAATTGCTGCATGCATCATCTTCATCTTGTATTATTTGTTAATGACCATTACGTGACATTATTTATCCTCTTTTCCACACAATAGTTCTCTTTTATTATACTCGTATAATTTTAGGTTTATTTTATTATTTTTAATAAAAGAAAATATACTACCTATTTGTGTACTGGTTTAATTAACATTGTTTAATTAAAGTTCAAGATATGTAATTGGTAGATCGCAGAGTATTTCGTCAGTAGACAGTAGCTCTTGGTTCTAATCAAGTTGGCCACCCCTGGTAGTATACGGTAAAAATAAAATAGTATTAAAAAATAAATAATAAAAGCGTAATTATAAATATTTTATGAACAGATATGAGTAGAAGGGTTATATTGATAATAACCTGAAAAGAACCCCACGCTTTTTTACAGTAAAATCATTTTTTCTTACACTATTTTGAATTCAAATTTAAAAAAAAATCTATTTTTTAGTTGGATTTTCTATAAAAGCGTATATTTTTAGTTTTTTAAAACAAATATTCATTTTTATTTTTTAATAGAATTTCAATATTTTTTTTACTATTGAATTGTCATCAGTCCTTAATAAGTATGCCAAATTTCGAGTTAATCCGACGTTTTGAAGCGGGTCAAAATCATGTTCAAAGATTCGGTTACATACTACATACATACGTCTGAATCCAATAAAAGCGTATTAAAAAGTCCGAAAATTACAAAATAACTCGATAATTTAGTTCAATTTCTTTACCTACCTCCTGACTTCAGGTGACGTCGGTAAACTTCTACATTTTCTACTCTTGCTGTTTTGGCGGTGATGACTCTGTCCAGAGTTGGTGTTGCCCATGTTTCAATTGTATCACTTCTTATATTGCAACCATTTTAATATAATCACAGTTTCTAATTTCGTTGTCATTACTGCACTATAATGATTCTAAAAGGAGTTGTGGTGTTACGGCGCGACTTTTTTTAATCTACCCACTGCTTTAGACTTTACGTAATTACATATAGGGTACATTTTTAATAAAATTCCAAATTTTAACGAAAATGAAAATCGATTTTGACCAATTCAAATGAGAATATCCTCAATGTAGTCGAAGTCAATTTGATATGCATATTTAAAGTTAAATCAAAAACGATTGGTCAGACCATGTTAAAATTTTAATGACAATGACGACAAGCACCGGATTTCAAATAAAAGAAGAATCATTAAAAACAGTACACATAGAAAACTGAGTATTTTTAAAACCACTTATTTTTTGAAGTTGGTTAAAAAATGAAATTTTTAAACACTAGTTACGGTAGCATGAGTTTTTTTTTTTAAATCGTCGATCAATCTTGATTGAAACTACAGTTTGGTTAAGTCTAAAGGGATTTGAATCTTCATAATACGGTCAACATTGTAGTACCAACGTTCTATTTCCATTTACAGAACCGATTCGCGTAAATGCCAATGCACCAGGCTTCGGGCGTTGCAAGAATTTTAAGGGTCGGTACGGTTTGACCGCGAGGCAGTAACTAAGTGACCAGTTCGTGAATACCTTGCGGTCAATCCCGACGAAATACCGCATTCACTTCATAAGATTCATTCAGCAGATAGCTCGAAGCAAATCCTAATTAATTACGATAAGAATCAAAACGTGTTCAACGTTAATTCAGTTTATTTACATCCTTGCAGGGAACATAAATCTGGGACAAGTCCAAACACTATCTAGTTTTCTATATTAATTGGTAAACAACTATGTGTGACTATTGTGACTATACTGAGACCTTAGAACTTATATCTCAAGGAATGTGGCGCATTTACGTTGAAGATGTCTATGGGCTTCAGTAACCACTTAACACCAGGTGGGCTGTGAGCTCGTCCAAACGTCTAAGCAACAACATTTAAAAAAAAAAAGAAAAAAAAAGACCAAAACAACACCAAAAACCAGCCATTTATCTAATAGACTATATAGAAGGGCCCAATCATTATTTATTGTTGTCTGAAGGAGAAGTAAGGACAATGGAGAAAAAGTAATTAAAAGTCTCGTGTCATCGCAGTTCAAAGTTTATTGACCTTTACATTGTATCTCCTGTAATACAAATGCGTATGACGTAAAACCTAAATGGCGTTTTTAAAGTTCAAATAAAATTAGATACCTAAGCTGGTTCTAGTATTATCGATATTAGAAACATAAACATTGGATATGCTCTCTACCAAAATCGCTTTTATACAACTATGTCTTAGAACAGACCTCTGTATGTAATAATAAATAATTTTAACTTCAATATTCAAAAGCCTTATCTATGTATAGAATCAATTAGAACCAATTTAAACTATTTCGAATCTGTAGAGATTAAAAATCGATAATACAGATAAACAACCTTAGGCCTCTATAGTGGAGAATTGAATAACACAATTACTATACATAAGGAATGGCAGTCGTGTTTTAAATAGCACAATACATTTAGTGACTAATTAAACTATATTAGTACACTGCGAGTAAATGAAAACTGAATCAATTTACTCGTAAAATGTAACAAATGTGTTGGAATTGCATTATCGGAATTATCGCAGCGTGCGCACTGCTGTATAGGCCACTGGACTCTACTGGACTGTGAAGCTTTGTGGACCGACGCTTACACGATAACATTGTCTATAAATTTCATTTACAATTCCCGATTTAGAGCAACAACGAATTCAATTTAAAGTTAAATAGTCTTTTCTTCGGTTTTCGCGAGCCGTCGACATAATATACACGAATTTTATGTTTTAATCTTCGCGTAGGTATTTTATGGACATTACATTATTTCCGATGTTCAATGACGGAGTCGTCCGTGACTATGACAGCTGTAAAGTATTCGGACGGTCGGAATAATGACAATGAAAGGCGCGAGATTCAAAAAGAGAATAAAAGTGGTTTTCATTATGAAGTTGAATAGTTAGTATTTTTCAAGACCATAATCACGTTTTTTTGCATATTGTCCTCGCAAGAAATGTTTTTTTTTTCTTTTTTTTTTTAGTTTATATAAGAAGAAAAAAAATCCTTGCGAGGAATAATAAAAATAATAAGAATAAGAAAAATCTTATCTTACCCTTATATAATAATAGGAAGCTGTTGTACTTTTTAATATAAACGGAAATACTAATATGTGGCATATTTGAACAGCTTCAGCGCTCAGCCCAGCCTTTAGAAATCGCAACGTGAATACCTTCGCCCACTTAATTTATTTTGTCATTTTATTTATTGGCGGTATAGAGTACTGTAAGCCAGCACAGGTAGATATCACTCTGCTATCCACATTTATTCGTTGTTTTTTGCCTCTAACTTTTTTTTTTTTTTTCGTTGGTTGCCTAAGGGGCTACGCCAGGACCGGTAGGTGAGGTCACGGCCTCAACCTAAAAAAATTTGCTAACACTAGCTGCAAGAGCAGTACTGAGAAGATCCGGTGAGAAACTCAGTGGGTATCTACTTTTGCACCGAAGCAATCTTACATTTCGGTTTGAAAGGTTTTGATTTGAACTCTCGAACTCATATCCTAAGATGGGTAGCGGTAATCAATTTACGCTCCTTATGGGCTCCGATAACTACTTAATATATGGTCGACCGTGAGATAAGTCAAAATCTCAGTTAACAGCGAAATAATCTGATCAGTCCTAAACCGCATCTCAAGAGTGCTCTGTAAAAACAGTACACAGACGATAATTCGTTCGGATTCTCAAAACTTCATACATATAAATAACAGCTCTTTGATTATTAGCATTTAAGACTGTTCACCGTCCTCGCCGAACCCATCGCTTGCGACCTATGATCTGTGCTTGCGACGAAGGGCTCGACGAGCGAATTAACCTACAGACACAGCCCACTGAGTTTCTCGCCAGATCTTCTCAGTGGGTCGCGCTTCCGATCCGGTGGTAGATTCTGTGAAGCACTGCTCGCTACACTCCGGGTTGAGCCCCGTGAGCTCACCTACACGTTAGGGTGAAGCTGAAATAGCCTCTGAAGGCTACCAGCATAGGTAAAAAAAAAGCATTTAAGTTAATTTTCATTGACCGCGAGCCATATGAACGAAATAAAATAGTTTGAATCTCTGCTTTATAGTCACGTTCTTGTAACTTATCAAGAATCGTTGTTCATTCAAAATGTCGGCTTCCGAAAAGGGAATATGGAATAATTAAATTCATTGTCACGAGCACGAGACGGACTGTATGTACGTCGTGCATCAGTGGCTCATTGTTTGTGCTCTTATCCCTCAATTTTATACGAACCATAGTTTGTTTACAAGAACTATTGTTTCTATTGCGTAATAAAATTTTAATGTTTATTGTTGTAACAACGCACAATTGGCTTTTGTTCTCAAAAGTAAGACTGCTTTTCGAGTGTGGAACTCCACGATAAACAATTATCTAAGCAATAAAAAAAAAAAAAAACTTAATCGTTTCATTGCTTGGTTTTTTTTATTGCTTAGATGGGTGGACGAGCTCACAGCCCACCTGATGTTAAGTGGTTACTGGAGCCCATGACATCCGAAACGTAAATGCGCCACCCACCTTGAGATATAAGTTGTAAGGTCTCAAGTAAGTTACAACGGCTGCCCCACCCTCAAACCGAAACGCATTACTGCTTCACGGCAGAAATAGGCAGGGTGGTGGTACCCACCCGCGCGGACTCACAAAAGGTCCTACCACCAGTAATAAATTTGTCCGATCTCAACAAGGATTGTTCATAAATTTGTCCGATCTCAACTTACATCTAATCAATATGTCAAATATTATAATACCTACAACGTGAACAAAAAAATGGTGCGTGTACTTATGTACACGCGTAAGAAGTTATACTTTATTTTTATTAAATTTATTTCTTTTTTTTATTGAAATTTTAATCAATTTGAAAAAAAATCGATTAAACAACATCCTTAAACACGCATATTGGACATCCCTTTTCTTGACAACGTATAAATTCGGTAATTCTCGGTACGGTTCGGAAAGTTCACCTGCGGCTATATTCAGACTCGCCAAGTTACGTCGGTCGTATTGTAATGAGCGATTTAGTGGATAACTTCATTCTGTTAATTTTGTGTCACGGTGAGCGCGCATCGTAAAATTACACTCTCATAAATTTTTCATAACGCGCCTAAAGAAGTATAACTTAAAAAAATGTGAAAATTGTTGAAGACGTTTATGAAAGATACGCCGTTAAAGAAACAATAAACATGAGCTTACACAAGAAAGTGCGACAGACAAAATAACACGTATCGACGATTAGATACAAAAATATCAGTAAATAATTCATGAGTTTATGCTTAACTTGAACCTGTAGGCAGAGGCAGTCTTACTAAGGGCTGTCACGCAACGAATCACCTAAGATATAAAAACATATACTACTACACACTAAATATTCATTTTGATACTTTTACATTTATCACAGTTAATTCAATGAGAATACATAAATAATATGTTAAAAATTCAATTAAAGGAAATAAGAATCAACGAGACACGAACTTAGGGCCGCAAAATAACTATGTATTTATTGGAGGATTCACAAAGTAAATAACACGGTAAATAAACATTTCGTAGTTACCGAGAAATAAATGTGAAAGTGAAGTGTTTAGTTATCAACTCAAATCAAAATGTCCGATGTAAGTCAAAATCACGAACAACCCTGCTAAAATAAAAACGCCCACAGCATAACGACAACAGACGGTTCACGTAAAGTCGTAAAGGTTCGCTCGTGAGATGTCAAAAGTCTTGCAAAATAAATCTAAGGTCCGGTACTAATGCATTGCGTTTTACCGGATTTAATACAAAACCGCTTTTTGTGGCCATCTTTTCCGAGAATTCGCTCTTTGGATTACTCATGCGGGTCGACTGTGACTCGCCGTGTCAGAATTCGTTTTGGCGTGTTTGCATGAGCAGTAGAAGGATTTAAT